CTCGTCCCCCCTCCCCCCGGTCGCCGCCGGGGGCGGCCCGGGAAGCTTCTCCTCCGGCCGAGCGGCCAGTGGAGCGTAAGTCTTACTCTCTGGGTCGCAGGACTCGTTCTCGTCCCGCAGACCTTGGCAGCAAACAGCCGTCTGTGGATGAGACGCCAGCCCGAGGTAATGCCTCTTCCCCCAGCAATGTGGGAAGAAAAGGCTGGACAGGCGGAGAGGGCAGGAGTCAGATAGGAGTAGGAGGAATGACAACAGAGTTGGACCAGGACATGGGCAGGCTGAATTTGGCTGGACAGAGCTGGAGTCAGAGTCCAGCGTCATACATCCGCTCAGAGATGAGGGGTGAGGAGCTGTTTTCATCACATTTACCCATCTACACTAAAGTCTACTCATCAGAGTCCAGAAGATTCTGTGTACTTCTGCTGAGCAGGGTCAAAAACAGCGTCGACCCAGAAACCTGGTTCAGTTCTTCTAACCTTCAGTCCAGCTAACTCTCTGTCTGTCTGCAGGTCTTCCCAGCACCATGCACATGTCCAGTGCTCCGCCTCCGCCGTTTTCTAGCATAGAGGAGATGAGCGTGGGCTCCAGTCGGGCCAAGCGCTACTCCTCCCAGCGTCAGAGGACTGTACCTGAGCCCACGCCACCCCTTCACTTGGGAGTCATGGAGGGCCACTACTATGAACCCAGTGAGTCCTGAATCTTTCTGATTCCTCTGATGTCTTTACTGGGACTGTGTGTGTTTTAATTCAAAATAACAACACTGTAATAACCACGTATGCAGTTTTTTTTTTAAATTGAACTTTTCTGCTGTCACCAGAAGGGGTCAGTAAAGAGTCATGTTGTCGTTTACTTGTCTAAATCTACCTTCCACCCTGACTGTGATGTCTTTCTCCTGTCTCAGTGTCATACCAGGGGCCGATCTATGCTCATGGGGAGGCCCCTGCCCCCATCCCACCTCAAGGCATGCTGGTCCAACCTGAAATGCACATGGCCCACCCCGGTCAGTGTAGACCGCACTCCTCATTCATTCTGTTTCCTCAAAATTAATAGCCTTGTATTGAAACATTGCTGTCTTTGCTCCTTCTCCAGGTCTCCACCCTCACCAATCAGGCGGCCCCATCACTAACCCCACCATTTATGGAGGGCCACCTGTGTCTCTGTCCCCGGGGCAACCCCAGCAACTCCTGCCACCACCTTTTTACCCTCCACCTGGCGTCATGACTTTCCCGTACCCCACCATCTATCCAAGCCCACAGGTGGTGCCCTTTTATCAATTCTTTAAAACAAAAATTTTTAAACTTTTTTTTCAAAATTGGTGCCCTTTTATCAATTCTTTAAAACTGTTTTCCTCAAGACTGAACCTTGAACCTTCTGTTCCACCTGGAAGAGTTGGTCATTTTTTAAAGAAACCTGCTGTTTGTCTTAACAACCAATCATACGGCTCATATCATTGGTTGAACATAGTTTTCATCTACTGATTAGGTTTGTGGTGCTAATGCTAATGCTAATTGCAGCACATTGGTGACTGGTCACTGTTCCTGACAGGCAGAGTGATCACACGTGACTGAAGCTCCATGTTAAAAAGAGCATCTGCCTACATGTCACATGATCTGTTCTTCTGACGGCTCACTTGGCCGACCAATCACGTGACAGCATTCATTTTTATGAGTCCAGCACAGTTCTGACCTCTTTGCATTAGCGAAAAAGAACTGAACCTTTAAAAAAAATAATGACAGCTGATTTTAGAAGCTGAAACCTAATGTGTGTGTCTCTCTCTCTCCCTGTGTGTGTGCGTGCACTCCAGGGCCAATCCCAAGTGACCTATGGCGGTGTGACCTACTATGACACGATGCAACAGCAAGCCCAGCCAAAGCCCTCGCCCCCCCGCCGGGCATCTCAGCCCGTCACAGTGAAGCCTCCGCCTCCAGAGGTGCCCTTTGCCTCAGAGTGACCCCGCCCCATGTCCGCCCTCCGTCCCCCATCTCCACCTCTAGTTGGTGTGAGAAGGACAGGTGAGTGGGATCAACAGCTGATCAGCTGATTAGTGAAAATCGATTGATTACCTGTGGGTTACAGTTGACAGTTTTAATAATTGATTTAATTTTCTGTTTTTTTTTCTGATTTTTCTGATTTTTTTTTCTGATGAGCTTTTCTGATTTAATTTTCAGTTTTAATAATTGATTTAATTTTCTGTTTTAAGTTTAAGTTTAAGTTTCTGTTATTTAATAATTGATTTAATTTTCTGTTTTCTGTTGCTCACAGAATCTTGATGTTTTATCTCTCTCTGTACAGGAGCAGGGTGGAAGGGGTCGGGGGCGGAGCTTCTGTCATCAAAGCCAGCCATTAGTGTGAGAGGGAGAAAGGCAAGGACACACTTAAGCAGAGACTCGCAGCAAGACTGATGGACACACACACACACACACACTCTTCAACGCTGTCCTGCAGATTTACCATGAATCCAAACACGGTTTAAAACGTCGACGATGTGAAGATTCTGTTCTTCACCTGTGCTCTCCACCTCAACCCTAAACCTTTGGCCTTTTATATTTGTTCCATACTGAATCACAATAATGAACATGAACTGATCAGTCTGTCCGACTCCGTGGGCCCCCGCGGTCCACCGTGCTGCGTGAGCGACTCCATCGGGAACGATGGTCTTGTAAATTAAAGCTGCAAACATTTTAGTTCGTTTTTGCTTCTTCCTGACGAGCTGTAGATTTTTGTCTGAAGAGAGAAGACTTGGGTGTGTACAGAACAGTGAAAGTGTAAATAGAAGCTGGAACAAATGGAGTTAAAGAGAGATTTATCAGAGTTAGGCTAATTAAAGTCCACATCAGGGAATCTAAAGAATGTAGAGTTTTTACAGAGACGCCGCACCGACACACCGACAAGTGTTTGTTGCTTTTATTGAGTTTTTCCCGAGTCACTCATCAGGTTCTGGTTCTTTTTTTTGTTTTTTTCCCTCATCTCAGTTCTTTCTCTGTTCACTCTGCTTCAGTTGGAAACATTTTCATTTTTCTCATCCCCCAACATCCCAGGAATCCACCTTGGATTGAACATTTGGGCCATGAAAAAAAAGAAACCCCTGTGACCCCAGGGAACAGTGGAGGTCGATCGATGACGTTGTCTTTGTTGTGGATTTGGACGTGGCTTAGATATTCAGCAGGCGGTGGGTTCAGTCCTGTCCTGGCTCTGATTTGGTCAAAGTTAAGAGGAACCACGGGCTCTGAGCTTCTTCAGCTCCAGAATGAAGGTCATGTCTCCAAATGGTCAACAAACATTCAGTCTTTGGTTGGAAATAAAAGCTGGAGTTTCCTGCTTCGTCCTTCGGCCGTTCTTCACTCTCTGATGTGTAAATTCCGTCTGGTTCGTCGTTGGAACCCACCCTGCGGGTTCTGAGCCAGAAAAGTTCCAGAGCCACGTCAATTAAAATGGTTTTCACCTAAACCTGACTTTTTCCCCAAATTCCTAACAACGGCAAGTTGTGATGTCACTTCCTGTAGTGTTTGATTTGTTGGTGCATCGGTGATGTCAAAGACAGAAAGAGAAGAGAAGTCCAGTTTTCATTCATGATGCTTGTGTTCTACTGAATTGATGTCTAGAACTCGTCCGTGGGATTTTTTTTTAAGGATAGCGTCACAACTAATTTGGAAACGTTTTTCTTTGACTTTTTTTTATAATAATTACGTTTCTAAGAGTGTGTCGACTGCTGTGTTATGTTTGATCTGAACTGACCACTATTGTTTTTCACTTTGTTTTTATATATTCAGTTGTATAAAGTACTGACACATTACTGTATGCGGCTAATAACCTGTTCTTGATTTTTTTAATTTTTTTTAATCTTACAGTTTAACAGACTTTCCCAAAACAGAAACAGACGTTTGTGAACCACTCACCCTCCAAAGCCCACAGAGAAAAACCACTGATTTTAGCCAATGACGTGTCAGTTGTTCATCCACTGCTTGAAATGTCTTGTTCAGATTTACCTAGGTGACACACACACACACTGACCACAGGAGGCAGCAGTGCGCCACCAGCTCCTGTGTCCCTGTGAGTCAAAACCCCTGATTTTCTCTTTGGACTTTGGTAGAGAGAGAGAGAGAGAGAGAGAGAGAGATTCACAAACTACAGTGTGCTGTCGAATAAGTGAGTCAGTCTGTTTGTCTTGTATTGGCTCTCCCAGGGGGCGCTCAAAGCACCGCGAGCCCTGATTGGTCAGTGATTTGATAAAGCTGGTCCGTTCCTTTAAATGTCCCAATGATCATGATGGTGTTTAGTTTTTTGTTTGTATGTTGTCATCTGCACATGGTTATTAAAGAAGAGGATCAAACTGAGGCTGTCCTGTCACTGACATATATATTTATATATGTATATATATACAATATATACTGTAGTATAATAAACTTTAGCTTTTATTTTCTTTAAAAACCTTCAGGTGCTAGGTAAGGTAACTCTTTTTTTTAACCAGGTTTCTTTTAACAGAGGTGCTAGGTAAGGTAACTCTTTTTTTAACCAGGTTTCTTTTATTTTTTCTTTATTTCATTCCATTTCTGTTGAATGTCAGTTGCTTTTTTTTCTTTTTTTTTTGTTTGTTCCTAGATTGGTTTGTTTGTTTTTTTCATGTGACTGTTCAAAGGTCAGTGTTGTCCTTGTCTCTCTTCACAAGTTTAAGTTACAACAACTTATATACATTTACATGATAGTGTGTGTGTGTGTGTCTCAGATGACAGTGTTTATCTTATGGTGGTGCTGTGAAACTGACACTGTCATCTGATACACACACACACACACACACACACATCAATAAGAGATGATGAGTGTGTGTAGCGTCAACAGATGTTTTCACAGCACTGTTGATTGATCTTGATCATTCAAACATATCAGATTAAAAAGGTTCAATTGTGGGTTTTATTTGGTGAGTTGACTCACAGAAGTCTGACTTAATCTGAGATTAAAGTTTGAAAAACTACAGAAATTTTAAAATCGAAAATAAGAATGAATATTAGAGAGTGAGATTAAGTCAGAATTTGGATTTTTTTTTTTAAATAAAAATATGCTGGTCAAAATTTAAAATGTATCTTTTAATTCAGAAATAACAATCCTGATCAGAATTGATCCGGTCACGTGACCATCATCGTCACGTTCAAGCGCTGAAGGGAAACACCTGAAAGCGCATGCCCATCGCGGCGCATCGGGCGCGCGCAACTGCAGCAGATCGAAGCGCGCGCACGCGATCCAGCCTCTGCAGTGTCTTTCAAAAAATAGGAGAAATCCCACAGTCTTTAAACGCACCACAGTCCGGGGCGGATCTGGTCCTCCTCAGGTGTGCGTGCGTGCGCGTGTGCAAGGAGGAAGCACCGCCATTCAGCGTCCACACAAACACGGAGGAGGCTGTGGACAACCACGGAGACACAGGCCGGAGCAGAAGAGCTCTGCGACCGCTTCACACCGTCGGACTCGACCGGTCCCAGCGAGGAGACTGACGTGTTTACGACCGAGATCCGGGAGGAGAACGGAGCAGCACAGTGGAAGAAGAAGAAGAAGAAGAGACACGGGGAATAGGAAGGAGTCTCCTCCTGCACCTCCTGCACCTCCTGCACCTCCTCCAATGGGTTAAACTGTTTGTTGTTGTGAATAAGTGTCGCGGAGCTTCTCACCTGCTCAGGCCGAACCTGATGTAGGAGGCACCTGCCCCCCCTGCACCTTCTCCACCGGCACCTCCTGGGCGCCCCTTCATCCTCACTCGCCCGCAACTCTCCCCCTGTCTTCACCTCCTCTCCTCCGGACTCCCATCATGCCGGCGGGGATGAAACCCCTGGAGAAGTTCCTGAAGAAGCAGACCGGGGCGCTGACCCGGGCCGGGGGGATTGTCGGCGGCGGGGGGTCGGACAAGGCCGGCGGCGTAGCGGCGGAGAGGTCCCGCAGGAGGGCCAGCCTGTCCCGGGTCGTTCCCTTCTTCAGGGAGACGTCACCAGAGAGTGGGCAGGCCCGGGAGGTCTTCAGGTAAGTCTGGCCAGCGCCACCTATCTCCCAAACACTATCAAATCACCTTCAACTCAGAGGTGAAACAGAAATCCGCTTTAAAGGCAAAATAAACAGTAAATCTCGACATTCATTTCCAATGAATTTCCACTAGAAGTGTATGGTGGTGTGTTCAGGTATATGTTGATAAAAGTGGCAGGTTGATCCTGACCCTCCCCCAGCACCACTTCTTTGCTGTTAGTTACATTACCGCCACCTACTGGTGTCTTTTCCACTCTTAACATTTAAAACGTTATATTTCGACTTTATATAGATCGTCTTCTTCGTATATCTTAAAATGTAACAATCCCTTCCTCCAGCCCTGACAGTGAGGACGCCCCCTCCTGGCCCTCAACTCTCGGTACTTCAGCGGTCACAGCCCCTGGCGGAGGTCACAGCTGCGGCGCTGGAGATGTCCGCAGTCCGTCTCTGTCCAGCGATGAGCAGAGCTCCGAGGCTAGCCTGATCACAGAGAGCAGCAGCAGCGGAGGGAGTGGAGCGGGAGGAGGAGGAGGAGGGTCCACTCCTCTTCACCCTGACACACCAGACAACCTGACCCTCACCCTGTTGGACAGCGTGGCAGGAAGACGCTCTGGAGTCTGCATAGGTAACTCCTTCAAGGTCCTACACGTTGTGCGGCGGTTTGAGCCACGTTGGCTAATCATTTATTAATGTGAATGCTAATTCTTAGCTTAGCTATACTGCATCGATTTGGCTAACATTTAGCCATTTTGGGAGTCAATTTTATTTATTTATATATTTGTCTTCTCTTTAGAAACACGTGGCCCACTTTTTAGCTTTTTAGTCTTTTTAACTTCTAGCTACATTTTCACATGTTTGTATCCTTCCTTAACCTTTAGCTGATATGCTAATGCTCATCGCAGCAGTGTCATCATATGCTAATGGCACTGCTGTGGTGAAGCAGTTTGATGTCGTAGTTGCTTTTTTTTTTTTTTTTTTTTAATCAATCACAAGGAAATAAAAACATGTTTTTATAATCATTTAGATTAATTAGCAGGTCTGACAGCTAACGACGATGAGACCAGAGCAGTTGATGATTCATTTATGACCCTGATAGAAAGTCAGCTTTTGGTTTTCATTCCAGCGGTTGTGTTTTTCCACCTGTGCGAGGCCCAGGTCGGTTCAGGAGCCAGACCTGAGTCAGTGTGTGAAACCAGCACGTCCTGTTCATCTGCATGTTTCCGACTCCACTGATAACTTCACACACTCATTGGTGTCAAACCTGCGTGCCAGGAAAACAATCCAAATTTGAAACAACTTTCATTCTTATGCAAAGTAGGTGAGAGCTAACAGGTAGCCACGGTCTCGCTAAGGAAGCTAAAAGTCTAAGAGTCTGTAAAGAGGCTAAGAGTTCGACCACCGACTGACAGATGTCAGTCAGAACATCAGTGACACACATGCACATAATTCTTACATGATCACACACGTGTGTGTGTGTGTGTGTGGGTGGGGGGGTCCTTTTTGGGTGTGTGTGTGGGTGTGTGTGGGTCCATTTTTTTCCTGACTCCTACGTCGTAGGTAAAACAGAAGACAATCAGTTTCCTGACAGTTTAGGAAAAAAAACACAGTGTAGGCCTCTTACATAACATATTCACACACACACACACACACACACACAGACAGACGCGCGCACAGCAGCAGGCGTGTTGAGGCAGGTGTTAAAGAACAAACATTCCTCCAATGTGGCGTCGTCACTGCAGACTTTTTCGGGTTTGCGTGTGCGTGTCGTCGATCCCGTCGGGAATAACCTAATTTTTCCACATAATTT